AAAGGGGCTGAGAAAGTATTTGAAGGCATAATAGCTGAAAACTTCCCTACTCTGGGAAAGGAAACAGACATCCTAGTCCAGGAAGTGCAGAGAGTCCCATACAGAATTAACAGCTCGTTTCAACTCAATATCAAAAAAACAAACAACCCAATTAAAAAGACAGAAGACCTGAATAGACATTTTTCCAAAGAAGAAATACAGATGGCCAACAAGCACAGGAAAAGATGCTCAACATCGTTATCATCAGAGAAATGCAAATCAAAACCACAATGAGATAAGACCTCTTACCTGTCAGAGTGGCTATCTTCAAAAAGTCTACAACTAACATAAGTTGGCGAGGATGTCAAGAAAAGGGAACTCTCATACACTGTTGGTGTGAATGTAAATTGGTGCAGCCACTGTGGAAAACAGTATGGAGGTTTCTCAAAAAACTAAAAATAGATCTACCATATGACCCAGCAATTGCCTTGCTGGGTATATATCTGAAAAAACCACAAACACTAATTCAAAAAGATACATGCACCACAATGTTCATAGCAGCATTATTTACAATTGCCAAGATATGGAAGCAAACTAAGTGTCCATCAACAGATGAATGGATAAATGTATGTGGACTACATAAGTGTATGTGGACTACACATACCACACACACACACACACACACACACACACACACACACACTCACACACTGGAATACTACTCCGTCATAAAAAAGGATGAAATTTGGCCATTTGCAGCAGCACAGAGGATATTATGCTAAGTGAAATAAGTCAGACAGAGAAAGACAAATAGTGTATGATACCACTTATATGTGGAATCTTAAAAATGCAACAAACTAAGGAATATAACAAAAAAGGGACAGACTCACAAATATAGAGAAGAAACTAGTGGCTACCAGTGGGGAGGGGAAAAGGAGAAGGGGCAAGATTGGGGTAGAGGATTAAGAGGTACAAACTATTAGGTATAAAATAAATAAGCTACAAGGATATATTGTACAGCACAAGGAATATAGCCAGTATTTTATAATAACTATAACTGGAGTATAACCTTTAAAAATTGTGAATAACTATGTTATACATCTGAAGCTTATGTAATATTATACATCAACTATACCTCAATAAAAATTTTTTAAAAAACCCATAAAACAACCCATCCCCCCATCACATAGGTATGTGGGCAAAAAAAAATTAGCACGTGTAAATCACTTAAAGTAGTGCATGGTAGATGTTAAATGCTCAATAAATATTAGCGTCTTTATTCATTAAAATAGGGGACTTCTGGGCTTCCCTGGTGGCGCAGTGGTTGAGAGTCTGCCTGCTGATGCAGGGGACACGGGTTCGTGTTCCGGTCCGGGAAGATCCCACATGCCGCGGAGCGGCTGGTCCTGTGAGCCATGGCCACTGGGCCTGCGCGTCTGGAGCCTGTGCTCCGCAACGGGAGAGGCCACAACAGTGAGAGGCCCGCGTACCGCCAAAAAAAAAAAAAATAGGGGACTTAATCTGGTATTCCAGTAGTTAATACTCCGCGTCTCCACTGCAGGGGGCGCGGGTGGATCCCTGGTTGGGGAACTAAGATCCCGCATGCCATCCTGGGGCGCAGCCAAAAAAAAAAAACCAACTATTTTAATAGGTTGCCTTTCTTGTAAGGTTTAATATGTTTATAAAAGAAAATTCATCAAAAGCATCAATTAAGAAAACTAATGACATGCAAATATTTGGTTTAGCACAAAATTCACACTTGTTTCCTGTAGTTTCCTATAGTCATATATATATATGACTATAGTAAACATATGTCAAATATATATATGACTATAGGAAACTATATATATATATATATAGAGAGAGAGAGAGAGAGAGAGAGAGAGAGAGAGAGAGAAAGTGAGTATGTGTGTATGGGTGTGTGTGCATAAAGTATACATACTTGAAAGATATGAAGCCTGGGACTTGGCTGACTTTCCCAGCACCTCATATAATGCCTGACACCTGATAAGCTCTCGGGAAATATTTGATGAATGAAAGAAACATGTTATAGAGCTGCCAGATGAAATATGGGAGAGCTAGTCAATTTGAATGTCAGGTAAATAACAAATAATTTTTTAGTATAAGTGTGTCCCAAGTATTGTATGGGACATGCTTACACTAAAACACAGTATCTGTTGTTTATCTGAAATTCATACCGAACAGGGCCAGGGCCTCTTGTATTTTTATGCAAACCTGGCAACTCGGTGAATAAAAGGTGCTGCTTACAAAAACTGAGACCTCAGGTTCTTGGAGGCGGGGAAAGTGGACCGAGGGTGGAGCCTGAGAGACCTGAGTCACGCGAGAGAAAGAGCGGGACACGAGGTCGGGACTCGGGCGCCGCCCACGCGGCGCGGAAGTGACCGAGCCCAGGCCGAGAGCAGCGCTGGCAGGGCGTTTAGGCGGGTTTTAATTCCGAGCATCCTTTTGAGTTGGGCAGCTCAGGGCGCCCCGTAGGCAGGAGGTACCCGCGGGTCCTCCAGGAGCCGTTGCATTGGTAGCGGAGGAGCTCTCTCCCAGCCACAGGACTACGCTCCGAAGAAACCGTGTCAAGTTAAAGCCAACCCAACCAACCAAACCTTTCTAATGCAGTGTGAAGACTTTAAAATTATGTGTGTGTGGGTGTGTGTGGGGGGTGGGGCGCTGCTCTTAGAGAGAGAGGAAGGGTCCGACTTCAAGAAACGAGTTTCCTGGGCTTCCCTGGTGGCGCAGTGGTTGAGAGTCCGCCTGCCGATGCTAGGGGACACGGGTTCGTGCCCCGGTCCGGGAAGATCCCACATGCCGTGGAGCGGCTGAGCCCGTGAGCCATGGCCGCTGAGCCTGCGCGTCCGGAGCCTGTGCTCCGCAACGGGACAGGCCACAACAGTGAGAGGCCCGCGTACCGCAAAAAGAGAAAAAAGAAAAAAAAAGAAACGAGTTTGCTAATTGCTGATTCAGGAGCAACATCCGAAAAGGGGGGAAAGCAGAGGTCAAGATGGAGCACAGCGCTTCCACTTCGTGAAAGAGGAGATTTTTGCCGTCTCCCAGGCTAGAAAGGAGCTGAGGGCCCAACCAGGAGGCAAGGCCAAGGGCGAGAGAGAAGCAGAGGGCAGGGCAGTGCTCAGGCAGCCCCCGGGACCGAGGGGACCGTGACCGGCCCCGGCGAGCGCTTGCAGCTGCGTCAAAGGAGGAGTTCAGACACTTTCAGGGCACTTGACAAGCTAGGGTGTTTTTCCTACTCATCCTCACTGGGAATGACGGGAGAGCGGTTAAATTGATAACGACGTCTTATTTTAAAGCAGCACTGAGTTATTTTATTACCACTTGCAGCCCTTCTGCTCTCAGCTGTTCGGGTTCAAAGTGGAAGCAGCCCAACTTCTGGGTCAATGGAAACGTACAGGTAAGTTTTATGCTTATGTTGATGGAAATGAAGCCCAGGGTGAGGCCCCAGAATGTGGGTTCGGAGCCTGGAGTGGAAAATTAGCTCCAGAATAAGCCCTGTGAGGCTCATTGTAATTCAGTGACTCTGCACACAGCCCTACCCTTTGGATCCCGTATTTACATACCCTCTTGCGTATCTACAGCAAACTCTCACAGACCTACTCCCCGAAAGCAAGGTTTCACAGTGTCTTTTGTTGGCCTCTCTCCCCTCTCGAAGGGTTCCTTTCCCCCAACCCCCTAAATGGCCAAAGTCCTGCGAGTCCCCGGTGGCTAGTCTCCTGGGAGCACCGCAGAGCACGCTGCTTGGCCTGCAGAGCAGCATCTGACCTCCAAGATCACAGGACACACTTTAGGGATTTTTCTAGTTCTGGATTCATTGGTCGAGGTTAGATTTCCCTTCCCTTCCTGTGGCAGGTCACGGAGCAAACAGCCCTCGTGCATGCACAGAGGCTGTGGCCACCAGGGTCCCAGGAAGCTGGACAGAACTCTGCCCTGGACGGAACTCTGCTCTGGTCTGTCCCGGGGGTGAGGGGCGTGGAGGACCCCTTAGCAACAGGCTCTGTCAGAGAGCTGACTTCCATCACTCTGGACACAGGCCCGAGTGTAAGACATGGGTGAGGACACTCATCCCAGAGGGATGTTCCCAGGCCAGAGTGTAAGACATGGGTGAGGACACTCATCCCAGAGGGATGTTCCCAGGCCAGATTATGAGCTGAGTTTTGCCTGGTTGCCTTGGGCCTCTCCTTCTGCACCCTCTGCCCCCTTACGCCCTTCAGAGGCGGTCCACCCTTCCCCTTCCTTCCCTGAACTTTACCTTATGGTGTCTTCATCCCTCCTCCCCTGCGGTTTTTAATCCTAAGGGTGAAATGAGGAGTGAGGTAAAATGTCTTAAATTCCTGCAATAGACGCTAAACAGAGAGAGCCTCAGGTCTTATTAAATTATTAGTTAAACACAAAGACTCAGGCTCTGATGATTACAGAACAGAACAGGCAGGGAACTCAGGAGGGAGTCTCCGGGGGGGGGGGTATTCCCCATTTCACCTGCGCCCTGTACTCAAGGAAGTCTCTAGGGGGTCTGCCGGGACTAGATCTTGTGCCCACGTGCCCACAGGTACTCAGGGCTCAAAGCCAGGGACTCTTGTCCTCAGCCCCTTTCTGCTGTGGGGGAGGTAGCTGGCATTTCCACGGGCTTCTGTCACACCATCACATACCTTGCTACATACCCAATGAGACAGACCTGCATAATGTTAACGATGATTCGGCCAGTTATGTATTCTTAACCCTCCCAAACCTTCTGGAGCAGAGGAGAAATGAAAGGGAAACCTAAATACTTCTCACTTTTCTGGAAAAACCCCTAAAAAAGTAGATGCTATTAGCTTTCAGTTTTAGATTCGTAGTTTTGCTTCCTGAGACTTACATGATCAGTACTTTTAAATAAATGCAATAAACGTTATAGTTTAACGAACCCCCAGTTAGATTGCCTCAGTAGCAAAACCAGGACTGAAGTCCCCTGTGTCCTGCTGGGAAGGCTGAACATGCAGACTGGTGTCTCCTAGTATTACCTGGTCTCCAAGCTGTCGGCAGTTTCTCCTGCTTCAGGTCAGGTGGCAGTAAGGATATTTCTATACCTGAGTCTCTCTCCAGGAAACTTAAGAGGAAACTTTGGCCAAGTCTTCTTGGCTTCTCATTTTGGAAGGCTCTTGTGATGAAGACTCCACCCGGGTGTAGCCTCTTCTGGTTGGGACTAAGGCTGGAAGGAGGCTTAGGGAAAGGAGTCACTTCCTTGTTAAGCCCTGCCCCCAGCTTTTCAAATGAAGGAGGGGCTGACCTTTGCCCACGTAATTTGACTGTAAAAGGAGTTCTGCATGCTTTACCTGAGGACTCTCACTGCCCTTTGGGACAGACACAATTATGAGGGTGTTTTCCCGATAGTACTTTACTTTCTTTCCCTTTCATCAGTTTAGCGAATGTTTACTGATCATCTCTGTGACAGGCATGGCACACATGTTTAATCTTCACATCAAGAGGCAGGTGTTATGATTCCCATTTTCCATACAAGGAAACTGAGGCTCAGAGAGGTAAGGTATTGGTGCGGAAGTGGTCCCCCCATCAGTTGGGCTGAGATCCAAATCTTAGTCTTTCTGGCTTCACACTATATCAGTGTTACCTCTCCCATGAGATTCAAAGATTGTATTCAGATGGAACCTCGGGAAAAGCTTTCAAAATGGAATGTAACCCCAGCCATAGTAAAAGCCACTAAAACTCATTTAAAGACCATATGTCACAATTTTAGGGATAGAATTCCCTATGTATAGGAAAGAAGAAACATATGATTTTGCGGTCTATCCAGATTCTTAACTGAAATAGACACTTATGCTCATAAAACCATGAGCGCTGGCTAGTCAAAATGTGAAGATGAAGGAAGTGTGCATGGTGAAAGGGGAATTAAGGCTAATTTCATGAAAGTGGGGGAAGAACTGGCCATTTAAATATTAGGTAAACAGATCCATGAGGGACAAATAATGGCAGTTATGGGAAAGTTAGTTCTTTGGTGACTCGAAGTGAATTTTAACCAGCAAACTCATATTTATTGCTCATAACGAATACCAGTCTAGTCAACTTGAGGGATATTAAAGAAATATTAAGACTGTTTTGTCTTCAAAAAAAAACTTACAGTCTTTTTTCAGAAGAAGAGATACATTCATTTGAAACAATTTAAGAACCAACAAATACATATAATCACAACTAAATCGCATAGTTTGGACTACAGTTGTTACTGGAGTTCAGAGCTACATAACTTAATGACACTGGGGGCAGAAACCATTTAGAATCTCGCGAGGTCTTGGCAGGTAAGTATAAACACAAGAAAGGGGCAGTCGGCACAAGTAGTCAGGCTCACTGAAGACAGAGAATGTCCATTAATCATTCAGCTTTGCATCTCCCACACTCAACAAGCTGGCACATAACAGAGACAGGACTCAATACATGTTATATATTAAAAGACAACAAAACCCACTTTTCTCCTGATCCTAAAAATACACATTGTGGGAATTCCCTGGCGGTCCAGTGGTTGGGACTCCACGTTTTCACTGTCAAGGGCATGGGTTCAGTCCCTGGTCGGGAAACTAAGATCCCACGAGCCACGTGGTACAGCCAAAAAAAAAAAAATAATAATAATAGAAAAATACACGTTGTGTTTTAGAAAATTTGTACAACATAAAATAGCATACATAAAATAAAGACCATCGTGATCCAGTCATCCAGTGATAAATATTGTTAAACATTTGGTGTAGGGCTTCCCTGGTGGCGCAGTGGTTGAGGGTCCGCCTGCCGATGCAGGGGACACGGGTTCGCGCCCCGGTCCGGGAAGATCCCACATGCCGCGGAGCGGCTGGGCCCGTGAGCCATGGCCGCTAAGCCTGTGGGTCCGGAGCCTGTGCTCCACAACAAGAGAGGCCATAATGGTGAGAGGCCCGCGTACCGTAAAAAAAAAACAAAAAAAAACCAAAAAAACCCCAACAACAAAATGACCATTTTTTTTTTTTTTTTTTCTTGCCTTATGCGGGCCTCTCACTGTTGTGGCCTCTCCCATTTGCGGAGCACAGGCTTCGGACGCGCAGGCTCAGCGGCCATGGCTCACGGGCCCAGCCGCTCCGCGGCATGTGGGATCCTCCCGAAACGGGGCA